CATATGGTGAAAAACTGACTTTGAAAAATAAATCTGTAATTTTTTTCTTATAAAAGCTAAATAAAACAAAAATATTGGTGGTAATTTTTGACTGTGTAACTTTACAAACGGCACCCCATATCCCTCACTGACTCCATGATCCTGAGAGCAGAACTCTACGGTCTGATCCAGGACTCGTTACTCATCTTGTAATGGGTTCTTTCAGAACTTCTGCCACAGTTTGTGGGTTTTGTTGAGGTTCTCTTTTGTTCGGGATGATCCCAACTAAAAAAAAACTCTCTTTTCTGTACGCATCTTTTGTTTTGTCCCTGCTGCTTACTAGCTTCAGATCATTGGTTGGCGTTCTCTGAAACACTTTGCAATGTAACACAACATAAATAAAACTTGTTTTTCAGATCAAAGTTGTGCTGAAGGGCACTCCAGCAGGGCGACAACGGACCGTTTCACGACTCATCGTCAGTGCAGCAGAAGCTCCACAGGCACCTGCAGGGCCCAGATGGCAGCCTCGTCTCTCCCCCCAAACAGGGCACTCCCTCCTGGGGGAAGGGTCTCTSAGCCTCAGCCTGTCATCCTGGAGGCCCACCAGTAACACCTCCTCCACTCCCAATCACACACGTTCAACCACATTTCTTCACACCTTGACTTGAGCAAGTAGTTTTAGTTTTAAAATCTAATTTAAAAGTCTATTTTTCTGCATTAAATGATTATTATTTTTTAAATAAAGTCTAAATTGTGGATGTTTTCTAGAATGGGGTGAAGAGCACTGCAATGCACCATCGACTCCTCTTTTCCTCTCTCTCCATCCTTCCTCACATCTTCCCTCCATCATCTCCGTCTCCTCCCTCTGACAGAAATCTGTCTCACTCCGTCTGTTTCTCTACAGCGACTGGGAATTCATCAGAGCGCAAACTAACACTCATTTAAAAATAATAAATTTAATTTATTTTTAGTTTTAATTTATTTCTGTTTGGACTCAGTTGAAAAAAAAACATTCTCAGTTTATTTAATTCACACTAGTGCAGTTTAAAACTAGATTTACAGGATTTCTGAGCAGCTAAGTTGTTTTTTTTCAATGCAAATGATCCATTAGAAAACCAAAAAGGAGCAAATATTCACAACAAAAACATCTTTAAAAGTTTGTGTTGTTGAGTTTGCAGACCCCAGGGTGTGTCGATCTGCTCCATCAGTCATTCATGTGTGTTTGCAGCCCCCCGTCTGACCAGGTCCAACACTTTTTACCTTCCAGCTCGTCCTCCTTCACACCTCCTTCACCCCACCATCCTAACGTCTCTCTTCACACATCGTCCACCTCTCTCCTCCTATCATTTCCCACGTCGCAGACCCAACTCTGCCCTCGTTTCTCCAGTCATTCTGCACCCTCCTTTCCTCTGCCAGCCCTTCGCTCACCTCCGGACCTCCTCTGACCTCCTCTCCTCTCAGGCTAAACTCTCAACAGAAAGCTGGACGGTGGTTTTAACAGACAAACTGACGTTTGTGGTTTTCCTRTTTTATTTATCAGCCATCTTTACAGGCTGTCTGCACAATGTGTGCTGTTTTATGCATTTCTCTTTGAAAATGTTCATTTCAGTCTGGAGATGCTACACTTTGACTTTTWGTTTTTGTAAATTTATATTGTTTTCCACATAAATTTACTTTAGAAAACCTTCATGCTTCAGTATATTTCTTTCTGCATTTTTGTCTAGAATACTGCTTTTAGCATTAAGCTAGCCTTTTAGTATTTTGAGCTACCATTCTGCTACTTTTACCAACTTCTGTTGCTTTTACCAACCAT